TGCTGCTTTAGCCCAGCTCAGCTAGAGCGGGTGTGACAAAAGGGTGGCCGTCCTCCTGCGATGTCAACAGGCTGTCGGCAGCAACACGATGCGGTACCGATCGACCATGATTTCTCTGAGGTGGACGAGATAGTCGCGGCCACTTGTGTATCAATGGAGTTCTCAGCGCCCTCCCCGACCTTGTATCCGTCATCTGAGTCGACGAAGCCATCGACATCATTACCATAGACGCACAGACTATGCATTTTGCTGCTCCAGGCCTTGGAGCATCAATACGATGGCGTAATTTCATGCCTTGAGGAAGTCGATAGCGGCTTGACCTCGACCTCTGGCTCTTCTCGACGCCTTTCTTCAGCAAGGTAGCTTGGACTTGACAGACATCAGCATCTTTAGCGCACTGGACACACTTCGCCCCTCAAACTCCAAAGCACAACCACGTAGCATAAGCTTCTGAGACGCCCTTGGCAAGCATGTTAACGCTATATTCTTCAATGGAAACAGGGCGAGCTGGCTATGTCATCTTACCCGCACAAGAGTCTGCTGGAAGATGGAATTCATCTTGACGACGTCGGTAAGTCAGCTCGACCCGTCGCGCAAGCACAGCAGAAGGACTTCTATGGACCTGGCAGCTTGAGCGTCGCAACATGGTACATCTAGCATCGGCAAGCCGAGCCTGAAATGACTTTCGAAGAAAGATGGACCATCCTTTGCCCTGATACTGACCCTTATCTAGTGAGAGCTGGTCATGTGTATCCTACAATAGGAGCTTCAACAGGGGGGTGGTTCATCCGAGTGTCGTGGACGACTACCATGGGTATTTCACCGCCCATTCAACGATGGACGTCTGCTGCCCGAAATGCGCCCAAAAGTGCAATCATGGCTGCGCGTCTCAAATGTACGGCCAGCTCATCCAGATCACCTCCACCGCGCTGCATCTGTATGTGTCAAGTTGTACTCGGGCCCATCCTAAGGCTTGCTCATGTGCCTCAACATATCGAAAATTGTTCCAGCATTGACATGTTCACCTGCGTTCAATGTTGGCTTCTTCTAGCTCTCACATGTCTTTGTGAACCTTTACCCCGGTACCCTTGTCGCAGCCTATCCCATCTGGCGGCGTTGTTCTTCGACTTCTGCACCGCCTCAGCACAAGAAGTCGACCCCACGGCGACCTGGTGGGCCCTGCATCAACTGCGCCGCCCTCTGCCTTGCAGCATGGTGCAGCTCGGTTATGAGCAACGCAATATACCATGTCAGAACATGAAGTCGCGCCGTCAGCTTCAACTACGCGCGCGGCATTGTTGAATTATCAGTATCTGCCGACTCTCATCGATGTCCTTCCCCCACTCTCTCGCGAGATGCCACAGGCTCTCCCTATAGGCGTTCTTCGTTAACTAATGGTATCTTCTGCGCTGACCGAAGTCAAGGAAAGCTAAACATTGACGTCTCTTTTCTTGACCTAGATGTAAGTGTCGTCAAGTGACCACACTGTCAGGTTGTCTCCGATGGCATCTTGTTGCAGAATCAATATTGTGATCACGCATTGGCATCTCTGCTGCCCATGCGCCTGCAGGCCTCGCGTTATCC